ATTGCTTCATAGATTGCATCTTAACCCTTTTGCCACCAGGGAACCCCGTTAAATTTTTTTTTAACTTTTTTTTTAAAAAGATTTATTTTTTTTTATTTTTTTTATAGAGGCATGTTTGTTTTTGTTTGTTTGTTTGTTTGTTTATACATGCACTGGGTACAGTCAGAAGCACGGGAGGGTGAGAGAATTCACCAGAGCCAGAGCTGGGAGCAGAGCAGGCAGAAGGACCGAAGTACACTGCTGAGGGGAGCAGCGGGCGGCAGGAGAGGTCTGCACGCCACGTGGGACCCTCCTCCAGTGGCCGGGGAGTAGCCGGGGATCTAACCGGCGCCACAGAGGCCGCGGGCAGCTTCGCAACCCAGCTCTCAACCGCTGAGCCACCGGGGAGGCCCTTAAAGATTTATTTATATAAGAACTGGGGTACAGACCAGAGGTGCAGGAAGGTGAGAGGATTCACCAGTGACAGAGTGGGGAGCAGAACAGGCAGACGGACCAAAGACACTGCTGAGGGGAGCAGCCGGCGAGGCAGGAGAGATCTGTCTTGCCATGTGGGTTTCTCCCTGGCCTGCCAGGAATTGAAATCGTGCTGCAGAGGCTGCGGACAGCTTCACAGTGCTGCGCTCAACCCGCTGCGCCACCGGGGAGGCCCAAAATTCCTAAACTTTAATGCTGCTTACATTTTTGCATGGAACATAGCAATACATGATAAATAAGTAAACTGTATAGCATGTTAGACACTGATGAGGGGGGCTAAAGAGAAAAATGAAGCAGAGAAGGGAATAGGAAGGAGTTGTGTATTTAGATAGGGTGATAAAGAAAATGCTTGAACAATATATTTGATTAAAAATCTTGAGTAAGGGATCTGTGCTATTACTTGGGATAAATGCAGTTCATGCATAAAGAATGGCAAGTACAAGGCATGAGTGTGCCTGGAGCATTTGAGAAATGGCAAGGTTATTGTGGCTTCAGTAGAGTAATTGAGAGGAAGAGAGAGAGAAGAGCCAAAAGGAAAGGGGAGACCAACGTGTAAGTCCTCATGTATCACTGTGAAGAATTTGGCTGTATTCTTTGTGAGATAGGAAGGTCTTCAATCATTTTGAGCAGAAGAATGACATGATCTGACAGGGTATTTTTTGTTTGTTTTTGTTTTTAAAAGATTTATTTATGAATACAAGAACTGGGGTACAGGCCAGCGGTGTGGGAGGTGAGAAGATTCACCAGAGACGGAGTGGGAAGTAGAACAGGTAGATCTACTAAAATACACTGCTGAGGGGAGCAGTTGGCGAGTCAGGAAAGGTTCGCTGCGCCATGTGGGTATCTTCCTGGCCGGAGATCAAACTCGTGCTGCAGTGACTGAGGATCGCCTCATGGGTTGTGTCTTAACCCCTTGCACCACCAGGGAAGCCCCTGACTTAGGTTTTATTTATTTATTTTTTCCAAAGATTTATTTATACAAGAACTGGGGTACAGGCCAGATGCACGGGAGGGTGAGAGGATTCACCAGAGACAGAGCGGGGAACAGAACAGGCAGACTGACGAAATAGACTGCTGAGGGGAGCAGCAGGTGAGACAGGAGCGGTCTGCTCGCCATGTGGGCATCTCTGCGGCAGGTGGGGATCCAACCAGCACTGCAGAGGCTGCGGACAGCTTCACAGTGCAGCGCTCAACTGCCTGCGCCACCAGTGGAGGCCCTGACTTAGGTTTTATTTATTTATTTTCACTGGATTTTTATGCGATTATTTGTAAGATATCTTCTTTTGCTAATTTATCATAATGAGCCATATTTGAGGAAAAACATAGAATCTTTTCTATTTTATTTTTATATTCCCCATACAATTGCAACCCCCTGATTTTGACCCCCATCCCGCCTTTCCCCACCTGCCCCCCCAAAGTGTGTCTCTGGTTCATAGCTGTTTGTTGATTTTGATTTTTTTCTTTTTTATAGTTATTCTTTTTCCTGGTCCCTTATTTAGGTTTTCTAAATTCCTGTTATGAGTGAGACCATCCGGTATTTTTCGTTTTCTTTCTGGCTTGTTTTGCTGAGCATGATCCCTTCCACCTCCATCCACCTCCATCCAGGTTGCTGCAAATTGCATGTGTTTATCTTTTTTGAATGCTGAGTAATACTCCATGGTGTAAATGGACCACATCTTCTTGATCCAGTCATCTATTTTTGGGCATTTGGGTTGTTTCCAAGGCTTAGCTATTGTAAACAGTGCTGCTATAAACATAGGGGTGCAGGTGCTCTTTGGAATTGATGTTTCTGTGTCCTTTGGGTAAATACCTAGGCGTGGAATTGCTGGATCATATGGAAGCTCTATGTTTAGTAGGTCCAGAAATCTCCACACAGCTCTCCATAGTGGTTGGACCAGTTTGCACTCCCACCAGTTTGCAGTGCAGGAGAGTTCCTTTCTCTCTACATCCTCACCAACATTTGTTGTTGCTAGTTTTTTTAATACAATAAATCTGAAGAAGGAATCAAGAAAACCATTCCTTTTATTTTTGAAACAAAAAAAATCAAATACTGACTTAGGTTTTAATAGGATCATTGTGATTGCTGAATCAAGAGTAGACAGGAGGGTATACAATATTTGTAGGTTATACTTCGATAAAGCTTGGAAAAATAAAAGAAATTTTAATTAATGAATAGACTGAAGGGGAAGCACAGGCAGAGTCAGGAAGACTGACTAGAAGACTCTCGAAATAATTGAGGCAAAATATGACAGTGGCTGGACTAGAGTAGAAGTGGGTGAGGACTGGTAAGATTCTGGAGTTTTTGAAAATAGAATTCAGAGTTTGAATGGATGTGGAGTGTGAGAGAAAAGGACGTAACAATGATTCCACATTTCTGGTCTGAACCCTAGAAGAATGGAATGTTCTGTTAATGGAGATAGAGAAGGCTGAAGGGGAAGGAAAGTTTAGATGTGTTAAAGTTAAGCTGCCTTTTCAATAGCTAGTTGAAGGCAGTTAACTAAGTCTGCAACTCAAGGGAATTTGAATTAAATTGCGAAGTAGTAGGCCATATGGATGATATTCAAAAAGATTCTGGATGTGAGTGTAGCTGGTGAACAGGTTCTTCAAGATCTCACTGAGTCTGTCGGCATTGAGAGGATAGGGACATGAAGGAAAACTACCAAAAGAGACTAAGGAAGTGCCAAAGTGTGTGGTTTGTGCTATTTTATTACTTTTTGTCGTATTTGCTTTTGTACTTTGTTTCCCTATTTCCCTATATTTCTCTCGTTGTATAGGTATATCCTATTTTATTTTTGTGAAAATATGTACTTAGTCCTTTTACTTTTCTTTGGGTCATGGTCCCTATCTTTGCAAATTAATGTTTTCACCCCTTTTATGCTAATTTAAATTATGCTTTATGCTCTGTGTGTGAAATATTAAATGTATAGTAAATTACAAAAGGAAGCAAAAAATGTCATCTCTAATTCTGCCACCAGAGGCTAATTGCTATAAGCATTTTGACATATTTCCCCCCACCTTTATTTTTTACATTTGATTTACATAGTTGACATGTGGAAAGTAAAAGTTTATGTATTTGGGCTTCCCCTGGTGGCGCTGGCGGTTGAGCGCTGTGCTGTGAAGCTGTCCATAGCTTCTGCAGCGCCGGTTTGATCCTGGCTGGCCAGCAAGGGTCCCACATGGTGCAGCAGACCTCTCCTGTCGCGCCCGCTGCTCCCCTCAGCAGTGTTACTTTGTCAGTCTGCCTGTCCTGCTCCCCGCTCTGTCTCTGGTGAATCCTCTCACCCTCCCGCGCATCTGGCCTTTACCCCAGTTTTTGTATAAAAAATCTTTTTTTTTAAAAAAAAAAGTTTAGGGGCCTCCCCGATGGCGCAGCAGTTGAGCGCTGGGTTGCGACGCTGCCCGCAGCCTCTGCAGCGCGTTCAATCCCCGGCTGCTCCCTGGCCACCAGAGGAGGGTCCCACATGGCGCGCGGACCTCTCCTGCCGCCCACTGCTCCCCTCAGCAGTGTACTTGGGTCCTTCTGCCTGCTCTGCTCCCCGCTCTGGCCCTGGTGAATCCTCTCACCCTCCCGCGCTTCTGACTGTACCCAGTGCTTGTATAAACAAAACAAACAAACAAATAAATAAATAAAACATGCCTCTATAAAAAAAAAAAATCTTTAAAAAAAAAAAAAAAGTTTATGTGTTGCTAGCTTTTTTCCTGAACAACATGAGCATTTTTTCCATGATGATCAAACTCCCTTAATGACATTTTCTTCGAGTTTTTTATTTTAAAAGTTTGAGATGAAAGAATAGTATGTGTTTGTTGTGTGTGTGTTTTATGTTTTTTTGAACTTCTGGACCATGTTGAAGGTAAGTTGCAGACATTATAGTTTGCTTTAAATACCTTATCCTTCAGTCCCTAAAAATTCTATGTAATCATAATACCATTTATCACACCTGGAAAATATTAATTACATAATATTAATAATAGAGTTCATATTTCCCTGTGAAGAGGAGACTTTTTTTAATCCAGGATCAATTCCAAGTTTATGCACTAGCCTTGGTTATTTAAAACATTTTTACTGACTGCATAATATTCCATTTTAAGGAATTACTTAATCAGTAACCTAAGACCAGGCTTATAGGTTGTTTTTTAGTAACAGTAAATTTTGAGATGTTTTTACAAGGATCTCCCCACATTTCAAATTCTTACAGTTAAAATTACTGGGATTACTGGGTGTGTTTTTATTTTTATTTTTAAATCTAATTACTTTATTTAAAAAATTTGTTTATTTTTATACAAGAGCTGGGGTACAGGCCAGAGGCGCGAAGGGTGATAAGATTCACCAAAGGAGCAGAACAGGCAAACAACCGAAATACACTGCTGAGGGGAACAGTGGGAGCGACAGGAGAGGTCTGCTGCGCCATGTGGGTCACCTCTCTCAAATTTGCTGAAGATGCGATTGTATGTGGGGAGTAACCATAAAATCAAAGGAAATATCCAATTTGTCTGGAAATACATGATGATGTCTTTCTATTGTATAGTGTTCTGGGAATGTCAGTGCAACCTGTTCCTTCTGCTCGGGAAGAGAAGGAAGAAGAGATAGAAGAAAGAGAGGAAAAGGAAGAAGATATTCCAGATGATACCACACATTCCCTTGGTGCTGAAGGTAGTCTTATGCCTTTTTCAGTATAGTAGATTGTGTTAACAGTCTCTTCACTAGGAGCATGCAGATACTTAAATGTTTCCTTTTTATTAGATCATAGACTTCTTATGATGAAATTGAGAGTAGTCATTAAGAAATTTGCTAGTGGTCTTAAGCTATTATACCTAATTTGGTGTTCAGGAACCTGTAGCTAATTGGATAGTCCCTTTTCTACATATTGACTTACATTCCTTTCATGTTCATTTGTGTTTAAAATATTTTGGGCATATATATTTTGTGGTTGGAAGAAGTCTGAATTGCTGCTGTTTATATCTTCAGAAAGTAGACATAGTTCATTAATATTCGATGCTTGTAAGATTTTAATAGTATGAAAGTGTTTTCCTTCATTACACTTTTTTTTTTTAAAGATTTATTTATTTATGCATACAAGAGCTGGGGTACAGGCCAGAGGTGCATGGGGTGAGAGGATTCACCAGAGATAGAGTGGGGAACAGAAAGGCAGATGACTGAAATACACTGCTGGGGGGAGCAGCGGGCGAGTCAGGAGAGGTCTGCTGTGCCATGTGGGTTGCTCCCTGGCTGGGGGTTGAACTGGTGCTGCAGCGGCTGCGGAAAGCCTCCCAAGTTGTGTCTTAACCCCTTGCACCACCAGGGAGGCCCCATTACACTTTTTTTTTTTAAATTTATTTATTCATACAAGAACTGGGATACAGCCAGAGGTGCGGGGGTGGGGAGAGACGGACAGTGAGAGGATTCACTAGAGACAGAGTGGGGAGCAGAAAAGGCAGATCTACTGAAATACACTGCTGAGGGGAGCAGCAGGTGAGACAGGAGATGTCTGCTGTGCCATGTGGGTCAGCTCCCTGGCCAGGGATAGCTTGATAGTGCTGAGACTTTAACCTCTGTGCCACCAGGGAGGCCCTCAGTTCTCTTATTCTTGATTGTATTTTGAAAAATTTTGAGGGGCAGGAAATATTTTGAAGTGAAGGACTGAACATGACCCTTTTTTGCTAAGGACAGTTGCTTGTACAGTGTATAATGTGGGATAACACATCTAATTTCTTGAGAGTTTGTTCCTAGATCCTGCCTCATCACAGTTGGGCTTTGGAGTTCTGGAGCTTTCCCAGAGCCAGGATATTGAAGAACATGCTGTGCCATATGAAGTGAACAAAGAGCGTCTACAGTCAGTAACCACAAACTCTGGTTATACCAGACTATCTGATGTGGATGCTAATATTGGTATGAAACATGTTTTGTGGCATTTGGGGTTGTTTAAAAGCATTTTTCTCCCATATTAGAGCTAGTTATTTTTCAATTTATTTTATAACTATGTAAGTTAATATAACGTTAGCTGATATAGAAAGGTTGCACAGCTATCTGGTAAATAGCCAGTTGATGGCTTGCAAGTTGAACTTTTTTAAGTGGTTATATTCCTTTTTGGAGTGATGCCTGTATAAATTTTCAAATTGGACTTCTTTGTATATTAAAGTTCTTTTTTTTAAAGATTTATTTATTTATGCATACGAAAACTGGGGTATAGGCCAGAGAGGAGGGTGGGTGAGAGGATTCACCAGAGACAGAGTGGGGAACAGAACAGCCGGATTGACTGAAGTACACTGCTGAGGGGAGCAGCGGGAGAGTCAGGAGAGGCCTGCTGCGCCATGTTGGTTGCTCCTTGGCTGGCCAGGGATCAAACTCGTGCGGCAGTGGCTGCGGATAGCTTCAGGTTGTGTCTTAACCCCTTGCACCACCAGGGAGGCCCTGTATTAAAGTTATTTCTATTTAAATACCTCTTTCCTGTTTCTTTTAAAATTTCAAGCAGTTAAACACGAACAGTCCAATGAAGCTATCCCAGTGGCAGAACCACCCAACAAAGATGTCCCTGTGGCAGCACAACCCAGTAAGGATGTAAATACAGTAGAGGAGAAAAGCCCCCTGCCTGCACGGTAAGCCAGATTCTTTCTGGAAAATATTTATGAATTTCTGCCTATAAGGTTATACCAATTTCACTTTGCCAGGTGGAAATGTTTTTAGAAATTATTGATTTTTTTTTTTTCCCCCCTTATACTGGGCATATTTCTGGTCTAATAGAAACACTATTTGTGAATACTCATTGTGTCCTCATCTTTTTTTTTTTTTTTTTTTTTTGTCCCAACAAATGCTTTTACCTATTTTTGTGTAGACGATCTAGGGTATAGGCCAGTGGTCTGTCAGGGGGGCGGAGAGAGGATTCACTAGAGACAGAGTGGGGAGCACAGCAAGTGGATTTATTGAAATACACTGCTGAGGGAAGCGGTGGGTGAAATGGGAGATGTCCGCTGTGCCATATGTGGGCTAGCTCCCTGGCTAGAGATCAGACTCAGGCCATTGCAGTGATACCTCTGAGACTTAATCCCTGTGCCACCGGGGAGGCCCTGTGTCCTCATCTGTAGGATTATTAGGAAGCCATTTTATTGCTGCTGTAATAAGCATGACTCCTTACTGTTTGGTTGCCACACCTGTCTGATCTTAGTCTGCAGAGTTTCTTTCTGTGGGAGGTCTTCCTAGCTCCTCTAATATTCAGAAGAGACATGTAAATACTAAATTTTTTTTTTTTTTTTTTTTTTTTTGTGGGACCTCGCTGGCAGCCAGGGAACGAACCAGCGCTGCAGAGGCTGCGGGCAGCCTCGCAGCCCAGTGCTCAACCGCTGCGCCACCAGGGGAGGCCGTATATTTTTATTCTTTAAAGATTTATTTATGCATATAAGAACTCGGGTACAGGCCAGAGGTGTGGGAGGGTGAGAGGATTCACCAGAGACAAAGTGGGGAACGGAACAGGAGGATTGACTGAAATACTCTGCTGTGAGTGTTATAGGACAGGGAGAGGGGCAGCCCAAACCCCGGAAACCTGCCTATTCTAAATGGGTTCTGCCATCTGCCGCATCAACACAAAACATAGGAGACTTTAATGGGAAGGAACTTTAATAAAACTAGGAAACAATACAGGTAAGTCAAAGAGTCTAGTTTCTAAATGAAGCACCCAAAGTTACCCGTCCCCTCATGGGTAAAAGTCCATCCATATGGGATCGGCCCAGAGCAAGGCCCCAAAGCCTGCCACAAGTCTAAAGCATCTTCCAGTGGGGACCCACAGAAAAGGATCAGAAACTACCAGACAAACACGGAAGGAAAAGAGCAAAATCAACATCAAGATAAAAGCTGCCATGGTCACCTCCCCACGGGTCTCACCCACATCTGTGTCACCCAGTCCACGACCAAAAGACAAGCTCAGTTTCTTCACGTGTCTCTAGGCTCCATGCACCTCCCTCCTCCAGGTCTCCTGGCTCCATCCTGCTTCCTTCCTCAGTCTCTTCTGCAGCTTCTCCTCTTCCTGCTCAGCTCCACCCTCCCTTGGGTGGGGCAGGGAACCTCCCCCTTTCCTGGGGACCACCCTGTTGCAATCCCCCTTTTAATTTTTATTCCACCATATCTATGGTGGCACAGATCTCAGGGTGTAGTCTTAGGAGACAGTCTTTTTTTAGGGTTACAATGTGTGTAAGAGAAGCAACAATTAGTCAGCAGCATTGTCTATGAATGTCCAGTATGACAGTTTTCCATTCTGAAAAATAGTCCATTATACCAGCCAAAAAGAAAAAAAAAATTGGAGCGTTAGCTAAAACAAGACAGAAAATATATCAAAATCACAGGGAAAAAATGTTAAAATGGTTCAACTTATGCGCAAAAACGAATTCTCTCAACCTTGATCCCAAACTTTAACAGCATAGCAAAAGTTTGCAAATTAAATCTACTTTTAAACCATTTTTCCTATTTTGCATAAAATCACAGGGCAGAAATAACTAATAGCAATTTTTAGCTGGCTTTGTTGAAATACTCCATATAGGATCAGAGTGAACCATTGGCATCCAGTAGATGTAGGCTTTAGGTACAAAGTTGGTCTCATCAGACTCCACCTGGGCTTTCCTCTTCTCGAGGGTACCAAGGCATTTTCGTTGGCCGGGTTGTCCAGTCCTGCCAATGGAGGCAAGCTTCCTCACCTTCTTTGGAGGTCTCTGGAACCCTACAAACAAGGCAAACAGGTTCTCCTCTTCTTGGTTCAGCTCTTTTTCAACTTTCTGGAAGAACTCCACACAAAGCCACACAATCAAACTCGCGTCCAATTTTTTGTTAAAACAGATAAAATCCCTATGGAAGTTATGCAAAAACAGACTCTAAGATAAGTAAAAGATAAGATAAAAATTACTACCTCTATTTGTATGCTGTGTTGGTATTAAGGGGAGAGAAAATGTGACGAGTTAGCTTTGCTGGAAAAAAAATTGCAACCTTGCTGCAGATTCTGGTTACTCAAAAACAAAACAAAACAAAAAAACTTTGTGGATTCAGGACAAATGCATGAAAAAATTACAAAGAAAACTTGTAAATGTCAGGTGTATTTCCAGGTCTATTCAGTCCTTTGTAGGAAAGTTTTACTCTAAAAAGGTCCATCAATAGGAATCTGTTGAGACTTTTCTCCCTATATTTTCAGAAACAATTCCTGTAGATATTAAACAATTGAAGTATACAATATTACAAGGTGACAATCTACATACATACCAGATACTGAGAGGTTTTTTGTATACACATTTTAGAAAACTACTGTTAACATTTTTGTACATACCAAAGTTTTACCATTTTCCCAAGTGACAATGCTTCCCTTCCAGTTTACTTCATTAGGTAAAAGCCAAATAGAACAAATTCATCTAATGCCTTCCCAGGAGGAAAGGGAGAAACTTTGTGGAGTGTCTCAGGAGCTCTACTGAGGTTCCACAAAATTTCCTTGCATCAGTCAAATGACAGGCTACCAAATTTGTACTTGAATTTAGATTTCTGGGAAGCTTTGCTATAAATATCAGAAAATTAGCAGAAACAACAATATTCAATCTCTATGAAGGCACCGGCTTAATTCAGTAGCACAATGTTGACAATCAAACCATAACTTTTTTATTTTTATCATAACTGGAGACTTTTTTTTTTCAACGTCTATGGGCACCATGTATACCAATTTGTCGATCACTGGAGGTCAAGACAGTTAGACACAAGGACATACAGACATACAACGTATAGACCAAGACAGTTTTTTTTTTTAGTTATGCCACGTAGAATATGTTATGTAAACTGCAGTTTTACTCCATAGGCTCAGAAAAAAAATATCAAAGTCCAAAAAAAATGTGGAGTGTTGCTGGCAGAAAAATTTCCAGTTGTCATCCTGCAAACCTAAGACTTTGGAAATAGGAAGGAAAAGTTTTATTAATCACAAGAGTTCCATGACCTTGTTTATCACCTTAGGGTTTTCAGTGTTGAAGACTTTTTATTAGAAGTCAATCCTGGGGTATTCTGTACAGCAACTGAAGAATAAAAGTAACAGTTAACTTTTAAGCAAAAGGAGTCATCTCTTGTTAGCCACCAAGCAGGCACTCCTGGGTTTCCTGGAATAGAACCCGAAAAAGCAAAATCAAAATATCAGTAATTAACTTTCAATTAAAAGGAGTCATCTCCTTCTGTTAGCCACTCTGGGACAGAAGCTGAAAGAGCAGATTAAACATCTAAGCACAAATTACACCTCCCCCACACTAGGGAGGGACAACAACAACACAGGTATGAAAACCTGGGTATAGTTACATGATGCACCCTAAAGAGTGCTTTCCATAACAGACCTTCCTCAGTAGGAAGCAGAAACTTAGAATCTTGTCTTACACCAGCAATTGAACAAATCCAGGATTCAAAATGGCAAACATGCCCAAAACAAATTGTGTAGACAAAATTCACAGCAGCAAATCCTTTCAGACTCAGACAAATCTTGTTAATTTTTCTGATCCAGACTTTGCAAAAATTCAAGTTATCTCCAAGAATCCATCAAGGATACCAGCAATTACAGTTACTGCTTAAGGCTACTCTTTCCTTACACCCAGGCATACATTTGCTAATTTAAACACCACTGCGTCACAATTGGCTGGCAAAATGCTCAGGCAAAGAGCAGGAAGTAGGCAAAGACAAAGCTACATACCACTGAAGGAACATTATTGCCTTTAGAAATGCTAATGAGACAGCAGAGATTACAAAAAAAAAGAAAAAAAAGTTCCAAAGTCCTAGCAACAAGAACCTCTGAAATTTTACAAGAGCACGCACGTGGCCTCAGACACCATCTTTGATCTGGCACATGGTCCAATGTACTGCCTAATCTTTTGAGTAAAACGGCACGAGAAAAA